TCAATAAGTCAGGCCTCAGTCTATCTCTTGTCTAATATTCAATTCAATTCAATTCAATTCAATTCAATTCAATTCAAAGTTTATTCTCTATAAAGATTACAATGTTGAATTTACAGAATTTGGTTGTTCTGTGGTTTACATGTAGTTAAATAATGATTACCGAGTGTACCACTAGAACGCCTAGCATGGCTAGGCATTTCGGGCAGACTTAGTTTAGTTCTTTATTTTAAAATATTACAAATTATGAGGTAAGTTGGTATTATGGCTAAGTGACTAAATACTAGTTTGTGAGTTTAGCAATGTGAATGCTTTTGTTTTGGCACAGTACATAGTTTCAGTATTGGAGTATCATAGGATTCATTATTTTAAGATTGAGATTAATATTTCTGTTTATGGTCAAATGGGTGAGTGAGTGTAAGTGTGAACCACCAGGTGTATTCGTGTAGTTTAGTTGATGGGGTTTATCAGGGAGATAAGATGTTTTCTAATGGTAGTTTTGAAGGTGATGAATGTGTCTGCAGTTCTAGAGTTCTCAGGTAGGGTGTTCCAGATTTTGGGCCTTTGACATACATTGAATTTTTGTAAAGGTTTAGTCGGACATGGGGAATGTCGTAGAGATGTTTGTGTCTGGTGTTATGCCTGTGGGTTCTGTCACAACTATCAAGAAAGCATTTTAGGTCAAGGTTGATATTGGAGTTTAAGGTCCTGTAGATGTAGATTGCACAGTAGTAAGTGTGGATGTACTGAACAGGGAGTAAGTTTAGATCTGTGAAGAGTGGGGGGGTATGTTGCCAGGGATGGGATTTAGTGATTATTCTTACTGCAGCTTTTTGTTGGGTTATTATTGGCTTTAGGTGTGTTGCTGCAGTTGATCCCCAAGCACAAATAGCATAGGTGAGGTATGGATAAATAAGTGAGTGGTATAGTGTGAGAAGGGCATTTTGCGGCACGTAGTATCGTATCTTGGAGAGGATCCCAACTGTTTTGGATACTTTTTTGGTTATGTGTTGGATATGGGTGCTGAAATTCAGGTTGTTGTCAAGGTATAGGCCTAGGATTTTGCCCTCATTATGTCTGGTAATTAGAGTGTTGTCGATCTTAATGTTAATTTGTGCATCTCCTGCTCTGCTACCAAACATAATATAGTAGGTTTTGTCAGTGTTAAGCGTAAGTTTATTGGCTGTCATCCAAGTCGATATTTTGATCAGCTCCTCGTTAACAGTGGTGTTGAAGGTGGGAAGATTAGGGTGAGAGATGACATAAGTCGTGTCATCAGCAAAGAGAATGGGTTTCAGGTGTTGGGATACGTTTGGAAGATCATTGATGTATATGAGGAAGAGCAGGGGACCAAGGACACTTCCCTGTGGAACTCCAGTATCAAGTGGCCGTGTTGTTGATGCTGTGTCTTTAATGGTAACATACTGATACCTATTAGTAAGGTAAGATTTGAAATAAGCAAGCGCATGGCCTCATATACCGTAATGGTCAAGTTTGTGGAGTAGGATGTCGTGGTCTACTGTGTCAAAAGCTTTTCTTAGGTCAATAAAAATTCCTAGTGGATATTCCTTATTTTCCAATGCTGTGTAAAGCAGATCTAGCATTTTTATGATTGCATCATTAGTGCTTTTATTTTTCCTAAATCCAAATTGGCAGGGGTTGAGTATGTTTTGTGCTGTTATAAATGAATATAGTCTCCTGTGCACGAGTTTCTCAAAGATTTTGGATAGCAATGGTAAGTTTGATATTGGCCTATAGTTGTTTAAGTCTGTAGGGTCACCACCTTTATGTATTGGTGTAACCCTTGCCATCTTGAGTAGTTTCGGGAAGGTGCTAGTTTCTAGTGACTTGTTAAAAAGTAATGAAATAGCATGCGAAAGGATATGGGCCGCTCGCTTGTACAGTAATGGTGGGACATTAGACAGATTCCCTGAGTTGTTTTTAAGTGACTTTATAATCTCGGTGACTTCCGAGGGCTCAGTTGGTGCAAGATAGAAGGAATTTGGGAAATTCCCATCTAGGTAGTCCCCGGCATGGGCATTAGTATGTGGGATTTTATTGGCAAGATTAGATCCTATGGTTGAGAAGAAGTCGTGTATCTTGTTAGCTGTGTCAGTGGGATGTAGTGGCGTTTCATTAGGTTTAGTTAGGACAATATTCTTGGTTTTTTTCAGTTTGTGGGTCCCTAGAATCTGAGAGAGTGTTTTCCAGGTCTTTTTTATATCTCCTCTAGTGTCTGTGAATCTACTGGAGTAGTATAGTTGTTGGCTTTCTTTATTACTTTGGTGAGAACTGATGAATAGTGTTTAAGAATATCTTTGTGTATTAAGCCCTGTCTATATTTCTTTTCATATTGGTGTTTCTTGTCAATGGATTTCAGAATGGTGCTGGTTAGCCATGGGCAACCAAGCCGTTTGTTTGTGATCTGTTTCGTTTTTATAGGACAATGTTTGTTGTATAGTCTAAGTAATTTGTTAAGAAAAATGTCTGTCCAGTCATCAATACCATTGGCCTTGGAGAATTCTGTAGGCCAGTCAACAATCTCTAGGTCAGTTGTGAACTTCCTTATTGAGGCCTCGTCATGGAGTCTAAATGAGACTTTGTTGTATTCAAGTGGTGGTTTATTAATGTTTGTCAGGAGGAAGGTAGGGTAGTGGTCTGTAGTGCTATCTGTGATTATCCCTGATTTAAATGGGGCTAGTATATTGGTCCATATGTGGTCTATTATGGTTGCACTTGTCTCAGTGAGCCTGGTTGGTTTAGTTGTTGGTATGAGAAGTGTGTTGTTCATATTGTTGATGAAATCAGTTACAGGCTGATCATCTAGTAAGCCAAGGTTGATGTTGAAGTCTCCAGCTAAGAGAAGGTGGTGTTTATTCATTTGTCTGTTTGTTATTAGTGACTTTAATTTCTCACTGAAATTTGGGATGTTAGTGTGAGGTATCCGGTAAATGGCACCGATTGTTATAGGTGTCTTAAGTTTTTTTACAGTAAAATTAGCAAAAATGTATTCCCCATATTCATCACTAAAGCAAGTGGTGCTAATACAAGATAATTGGTTAGAGTAATAGATTGCAATACCACCCCCAACTTGGTTTGGTCTGCAGTTGTGAATTGCTGTGTATCCTGGTAGAGGGTAGATATCTATTGTGTCCTGCTTAAGCCAGGTCTCAGTAAGAATAATGCAGGAGAAGGGTGTCTTTAGTGATTCAAGGAGTGCCAGGAGGTCATCATAGTGTTTGCTTAAGGACCTGATGTTGTAGTTAAGTACTGATAGGCTTTTAGCATTGTTTAGGATAGTGCTGGCTTGTGATGCTGTGTAATAAAGGCAGTTACTTTCCAATAGGTTTTGATTGGGTGTCAGATTATGGAGGTTTAGATCAGGGTCAACGTGATCAATCATCTTCTAGGTTTAAATTATGGTTATTTATATCCTGAGTTATGTGTTGAGTTCTAGTACTGATGTCTGTAGTGGTGGGAAGCTTGGATAAGTATATAGCTAGAGTATTTTGGTCATATAGAGTATAGTCACTACTACACATAATGAAGTTGATGTTGTCTATGTGTTGTGCTGGAATGAACTAAAGTACAACTAGGTATAAACTAGTAATATTGTCTTCATTAACTCTTAAGACTTTAACGCTTATTCCTTTTCTTGCCACTTTCAGCAACACTGGTATGCCTACTGGGTGCCATGATTGCTTGGCAGATACAAGATAATGCAATTAAAATATCAAAACACAATTCACAAACACAGGTAGCTCCTAAGACACAATGGAACTGGACACGTATGAATGAATGTGGTAATAGGGGTGGCAGGGGACGGTGGTAGGTCTTCCCCTGCTAACAAAAACACGACAGAAATACGTAATAGTATTTCTCACCTTAAATTGTGGTTGTTGGTGTCAGGTGTTTTTATCTACACCTTTCAAAGCCGAGGATTCTTAGAGCGGTAAATAACTAGGGGCTTACACTTGAAATCACCTGCTGCATTACTGCAAAGGAGCAAGGTGAGGTGATCCTTTGCTGTCTTGAAGCCCGGTGCACTTCTCTCATGCTGACTGATAAAAGTTCTTATTGGCATTTTCTTCCAAAAGACACTTGTCTTGTCAGCAGTAAACACTTGATGTGGCTCATAGCCACCCTCAGAAGTAATTTCCTGCAATTCAGCAGGGAAATTGCTTGCTGCTGTATGATCAGCAGAAGCACTTTAACTAGAAAACTTAATATTATGTAACTTATTATGCAACTTAAAGTTGTGGAACCAGCCTGTGCTAAACATACACTCTTTTTCAGGCATTCCTTTCTTATCACATGCTGCTTTAAACAACTGTAAGGCCTTTTCCCTAATTAAGTTCATATTAATGTTTTTTTTTTTTCGGTCCACTCAAGCAACAAGTTTTCCATTTTATTTACTTGTTGTGATCTACGTGTCATTCTCTTCATGAGATGACATCCTGGGGTATTCATTACACAGGCTCGTATGTTCACCTCGCTCTTTTTAATTGTATGAACTGATGTTTCATTAAGGCCGTAGGCCCTCGCTATATCCACCACACATGAGCCACTCTTAAGCTTGTCTAATATCTCAATTTTCTTCATAACTCCTAGACTTAAACGCTTAAACCTATTCTTGCCACTTTCAGCAACACTTCTGTGCCTACTGGGTGCCATGATTGCTTGGTAGATACAAGATATGGCAATTAAAAGATCTAAACTCAGTCCACAGACATAGCAGAGAATGGTCCTTGACACACATGAACCGAAGGCTGGGACAAGGGTGGCAGGGGTGGCAAGGGATGGCAGTAGGTCTTCCCCATTGACTGTAATAACTTTTTTACTGCATTCTTAGTGTCAGAGAGCTGAAATGGGGCAAAGAACACTTTTTTTTTTTTACGTACATCATGTATTATTGGAATAAATAATATGCATTTTTGCTAACATTCACATATGTATACATTGTCTAATGTAATACTATACTGATATTGAATATTTTTCCACAGGTCATAATATACAGTCAACATGGAGTCTCAGAGCACATTGGCTGAAGCAGATTCGACATCAATCATCCCAACCCTAGAATCTCTTTCAAATGTGGTTCATACCTTCAGTTCGACCCATTCTCTCTCTGCTTCATCATCTCCTACTCAGTCTCCACTCACTGTGATTACATCATCAGGTTCAATAACAGTTTGGTCCCAGTCACAGTCTTCCTCGACAGATTGCCCTCATCCACAGTCTCCAACATCAGAGTATCTTCAGTCAAGCTCTCCCCCAGCAGAATCTTTGCTGTTGTCACCCTCACAGTCATCTGTTTGGAATCCATCATCTGAGTCATCAGTCTTAACATCACAGTCTACAACCAACACATCCATCTCAAATTCGTCTTTAGGGACTCAGCCTATAACTGTATTGTCATCCACAGCTACACCTTCCTCTCATTCCTCATCACATTTGCCCCTCTCTCACCCATCAGTAGTCATTCCATCCACATTGTCATCCACGGAGTCATCATTATCACAGTCCCCGCCTAATGAGTTGCAAACTTCACATTCACAGTCTACCTCTGTAGCAGCTTATGACCCAGCACAGCAGTTATCACAGTTTCAAGTAGCTCTCTCAGCAATATCCACTGTATTATCTCCACTCTCCCCACCCTTAGTGTTACCCAACCCACAGTCACCCCCTGCTGTATCATTAGACCAAGAATCCTTCTACCTGCCTAGCACTTCTTCAGGAAGTTGGCGTTATGACCCACTAGCTTCTCCAGATTGGGATCGTGCAGGACCACCTGGAAATCTTTGTGCTGGTCGTGTGAAGAAGTAAGTTGGTAAGATGTGTTGCATGCTTTACTCTGTGTGTGTACTCACCTATTTGTGGTTGCAGGGGTTGAGTCATAGCTCCTGATTGATACTAGATCCTCTCTGATTGATACTAGATCCTCTCTCTGCTCCATGAGCTTTATCAAACCTCGTCTTAAAACTATGTATGGTTCCCTCCTCCACTACGTCACTTTCTAGGCTATTCCACTGCCTGACTACTCTATGACTGAAGAAATACTTCCTAACATCCCTTTGATTCATCTGAGTCTTCAACTTCTAATTGTGACCTCTTGTTTCTGTGTCCCATCTCTGGAACACCCTGTCTTTGTCCACCTTGTCTGTTCTGCGCAGTATTTTATATGTCATTATCATGTCTTCCAGTGTCATCAGGTCGATATCCCTTAACCTTTCTTTGTAGGACAATCCCCTTAGCTCTGGGACTAATCTTGTTGCAAACCTTTGCACTTTCTCTAATTTCTTGACATGCTTGACCAGGTGTGGATTCCAAACTGGTGCTGCATACTCCAGTATGGGCCTGACGTAAATGATGTACAGAGTCTTAAACGTTTCCTTACTGAGGTATCGGAACGCTATCCTTAGGTTTGCCAGACGCCCGTATGCTGCAGCAGTTATCTGATTGATGTGCACCTCAGGAGATGTGCTCAGTGTTATACTCACCCTCAGAGCTTTTTCCTTGAGTGAGGTTTGCAGTCTTTGGCCACCTAGACTATACTGTGTCTGCGGTCTTCTTTTCCCTTCCCCAGTCTTCATGACTTTGCACTTGGCAGGGTTAAACTCAAGGAGCCAGTTGCTGGACCAGGCTTGTAGCCTGTCCAGGTCTCTTTGTAGTCCTGCCTGATCCTCGACTGATTTGATTCTCCTCATTAACTTCACATCATCTGCAAACAAGGACACTTCTGAGACTATCCCTTCCGTTATGTCATTCACATATACCGAAAACAGCACAGGTCCTAGGACTGACCCCTGTGGTACCCCGCTTGTCACAGGTGCTCACTCTGACACCGCATCATGTACCTTGACTCATTGTTGCCTCCCTGTCAGGTATTCTCTGACCCATTGCAGTGCCTTTCCTGTTATGTGTGTCTGATCCTCTAGCTTCTGCAGTAACCTCTTGTGAGGAACTGTGTCGAAGGCCTTCTTGCAGTCCAAGAAAATGCAGTCTATCCACCCCTCTCTCTCTCTTGTCTTACTTCTGTCACCAATCATAAAACTCCAGTAGGTTTGTGACACAGGATTTTCCTTCCCTGAAACCGTGCTGGTTGTCGATTATACACTTGTTTCTTTCCAGGTGCTCCACCACTCTCCTCCTGATGATCTTCTCCATGACTTTGCATACTATACACGTTAGTGATACAGGTCTGTAGTTTAATGCCTCATGTCTGTCTCCTTTTTTAAAAATTGGGACTACATTTGCCATCTTCCATACCTCAGGGAGTTGCCCAGTTTCAATGGATGTGTTGAAGATCTTTGTTAATGGCACACACAGCATCTCTGCTCCCTCTCTAAGGACCCACAGAGAGAGGTCTGGTCCCACTGCCTTTGAGGTGTCAAGTTCACATAGCAGCTTCTTCACCTCCTCCTTGGTTATGTATACCTCATCCAGCACTTGTTGGTGTACCTCCCTGTTCTGATTTCCTGGAGTCCTCCTGGTTTCCGCTGTAAATACTTCTTTAAATCTTGAGTTGAGCTCCTCGCATACCTCTCGGTCGTTTCTTGTGAACTCATCACCCTTCCTCAGTCTGATTACCTGGTCCTTGACTGTTGTGTTCCTCCTGATGTGGCTGTACAACAGCTTCAGGTCAGACGACTTTCGATGCTATGTCATTTTCATATTGTCGCTGAGCCTCCCTTCTTATCTGTGCATATTCATTTCTGGCTCTTTGGCTAATCTCTTTATTTTCCTGAATTCTTTGTCTTCTGTACCTTTTTCTATTCTCTAGTACCACTAGTTTTTGCCTCCCTACACCTTTGGGTGAACCAAGGACTCGTTCCGTTCTTCCCACTATTTCTATTTTCCTTGGGAACAAACCTCTCCTCTGCCTCCTTGCATTTTGTTGTCACATAGTCCATCATTTCTTGTACTGGTTTTCCTGTCAGTTCTCTCTCTCACTGAATGTCTTGCAGGAAGTTCCTCATGCCTGAGTAGTCCTCCCTTTTGTAGTTTGTTTTTTCCCATCCTATTCCTGCTACGCTCTCCACTTGAAGCTCAGCTATGTAGTCAAAGCACAGAACCATATGATCACTAGCTCCTAGGGGCCTTTCATACATGATATCCTCGATGTCTGAACTGCTAAAGGTGAATACAAGGTCCAGTCTTGCTGGCTCATCCTCACCTCTCTCTGGTAGTCTCTCTTAACATGTTGATGCATGAGGTTTTCCAGTACCACATCCATCATCTTGGCTCTCCATGTTTCAGGACCCCCATGGGGCTCCAGGTTTTCCCAGTCATTCTCCTTGTGATTGAAATCACCCATGACTAGTGACTTTGCTCCCCCCATGTGAGCTCTTCTGGCCACCTCGGCTAGTGTGTCGACCATTGCTCTGTCGCTCTCATCATATTCTTCTCTTGGCTTCCTGCAGTTCAGTGGCGGGTTGTACATTACTGCAATTATCACTTTATGTCCCTCAGACTGGATTGTTCCTACTAAGTAGTCCCTTTCGCCCATGCCATGCCATCGCCCATGTGTGTGTGTGTGCTCACCTAATTGTGGTTGCAGGGGTCGAGAGACAGCTCCTGGCCCTGCCTCTTCACTGATCGCTACTAGGTCCTCTCTCTCTGCTTCGAGAGCTTTGTCATACCTCATCTTAAAGCTATGTGTGTTGTTGTGTGTGTGTGTGTGTGTGTGTGTGTGTGTGTGTGTGTGTGGGTGGGTGTGGGTGTGGGTGTACGTGTGTGTGCATGCCTGTGTGTTCTTACGGCATTTTTCTAAATAGAACTATGTTGCAAATTCTTTAATACCCCTCAAGGAAGGTTCCTTGATGCTGGTGAGGGGCTCTTGATCTAGGGAACTGGATCTGTGCTCCAGTTCCCTGAATTAACCCTGAATACCTTCCAACCCCCCACAGGCACTGTATAATCCTACTGGTTTAGTGCTTCCTCCTTGATTATAATAATAGTAATAATAATAATTATAATAATAATAATAATAATAATAATAATATAATAATAATAATATGTATCTTTAATCTTGTGTATATTTTATTATCATAATTGTATATTGGAGATATTTCCATTCATCATTCAACATTTTCACCTCACTTATACATAATCACTATTTTTGTAGTGGCACCCAGATAAAACAGTTTAGAAGCATATATAAAGATATATAACATATCCCTTCAAACTGCCAATATCCCAACCCCCTCTTTTAACCCTTTGACTGTTTTGGTCGTATATATACGTCTTACGAGCCAATGTTTCAGACGTATACATGTATATACTCAATAATTCTAGCGGCTTCAAATCAAGCGGAAGAAAGCTGGTAGGCCCACATATGAGAGAATGGGTCTGTATGGTCAGTGTGCACCACATAAAAAAAATCCTGCAGCACACAGTGCGTAATGAGAAAAAAAAAACATCGTTTTTTTGGATTAAAACGCCGACTTTGAGGTGTATTTCGTATAGTATTTATCGATGTATTTGCGTTTTCATGGTCTTAGGTGATAAAATGGAAAACATATTACAGAAATAGAGATGATTTTCATTACTTTGACGATGAAAACGTCCTTGAAACTGAGCTCAAAGTAGCGGAAATGTTCGATTTTTACCAATGTTCAGGAGTAAACAAATCACACCACACGTCTAATACACTTCAACTGGGGAGTCTAATATTCTTTCAATAGCGCACTGATATTATTTATACCATTTTTACAATAATGCAGTAGTCTGCATAACAGTAAATTTTGTATTTTTTTGTATGAATAAAAAATCAAAATAGAAAGCAATAATAATATAAGAGGGGCCTAGAGATGTGACTAATGAACAGAGGATATGTTATTTTAGTGCCAAAAATGTCTACCTTGTTTATTTGGACCCTTTTTTTGAAATTGGCATCTTTTTTAGTTTGCGTGAAATTGGCCAAATTCCAATTTCTGACCACATATTGGGTAGTCCAAATTGGTAAAATGGGAGGTTTCTTGTACTCAGCTGATAGATAAAATGGAGTTCAAGAAATAGCTATGAGTTTGGTCAACTGGAACAACGGAATTGGCTGAAAATAGGGCTCAAAGTCGGTGAAATTGCCGATACGCATATGTCGCCGAGACCGATAACTTCGCGGGAGCGTAATTCCATGAGTTTTCGACCAAATTTCGAACTTTTGGTGTCATTACCACGGGAAAAGATTCTCTATCATTTCATAAGAAAAAATAATTTTTTTTTTTTTTTTTTTCAAAAATTTAGCGACATAGAATGACAGTTTCAGAAAGGGGTCTGAAACAGTCAAAGGGTTAAAGTGCAGGCATTGTACTTCCCATTTCCAGTACTCAAGTCTGGCTGTACAAAAATAATTGGTTTCCCTGAATTCCTTCACTAAATATTACCCTGGTCACACTCCAACAGCTCGTCAAGTCCCAAAAACCATTTGTCTCCATTCATCCTATCTATCACACTCACGCACGTTTGCTTGGAAGTCCAAGCCCCTCGCCCACAAAGCCTCCTTTACCCCCTCCCTCTAGCTTTTTGAGGACGACTCCTCCCCACCTTCCTTTCCCTACAGATTTATACGCTCTCCATGTTCTTCTACTTTGATCCATTCTCTCTGGATGACCAAACCACCTGAACAACCCCTCTTCAGCCCTCTGACTAATTTTTTTTTTTTTTTTTTTTTTTTTTTTCAACAAGTCGGTCTTTCCCCCGGCAGAGGGACCCAAAAATAAAAGAAAGAAAATCCCCAAAAAGAAAATACTTTCATCATCATTCAACACTTTCACCACATCTCGCAACATTATCACTGTTTTTGCATGAGGTTTCTCAGAAT